TAAAAAAAAAAAAAAAAAAAAAAAAAAAAGGAAAATTTTTTAGTCTTGTTTAGCAAAAAACAATAAAAACCCGAAATTTTTTTAACCATCACCGGAGTCTGTGGGGGCTCAATGGGGGCGTGGCCTAGAGGGGCGTGGCCAAACAAGGGGGCGTGGCTTGAAAGCTGATTCACTATAACCCTGATTGGGGGCGTGGTCAGAGGAGGAGGCGGGGCCTGTCTCAGGTTTATTTGATTGATGGGGCGGTGTTTGGGGCATGGGAGGGGTTTCCCTGAAAGGGGCGCGGTTTCAGGGAGAAGACGCGGCCTGGGGCAGGATGGAGGCTCGGTGGGTGCGGCTGTTCCTGAGCTGGGCGCGGCTTTGGGGCAGGAAACGCCATTGGAGATGAAGGCGCGGCCTGAGGGTAATGAGAGGGCTCCATTAAAGGGGCGTGGCTTTCCCCTGGCGGGGCTCTGGGCTGATTGGTCCGCGAGGCGACACTTCCGGCGCCGCACTTCCGGCGGGACGGCCCGGTAATGGCGGCGGGCCGCGGGTGGAGGCGGCGGGCGCTGCGCCTGCTCACGGCGGGCGGCGGCGTGCTGCTCACCCGCTTCCCCTTCTGGCACTGCTTCAGCGGGCTGCTGCTGTGCGCCGAGCGCGCCGACCTGCGCCGGTGCGCGCCCGGGGCCAGGGCGGGATGGGGTGGGGCGTCTGCAAGTGGTCGTGGGGAGCCTGGGCCTGGGAGGGGCCTGCAGGGGCTTGTGCGGGCAGGGGCAGGTGTGGGGCTGGGGCTGGTGGGGATCACGGAGTGGTTGTGAGGCTTGGAAATGGAGCCGGGTGGGTCCGAGTCGGGTGTGGGAGACCCTGAGTGTCAGGGGTGCAGAGGCTGCTCTGGGGCCGTGAGAACGTGCGGGAGACCCGGGCTGGTGTGAGGGTGTGAGGGGACTGCGGGTCGTTCTGGGAAGCTGCTGCGGTGTGGGGCAGCTGGGGGGCTCCTGGGTGAGTGTGGGGCTGCTCCGGGTGAGGGGACCCTCGGTGGGGTTTGAGATGGGGGGCACGGAGCTGCTGCCTGGGACTGGGGGGAGGCCCTGTCAGCATTGGGGTCCAGAGGAGGGTTTGGGGTCTGGGGAAGGGGTCAGAGCAGCAGTGGGGGACACGGAGGGGCTCTGTGGTGCAGGCTGAGCGCTGTGGCTGCCCGGTAACCCGGGGGAGGCTTTGGGGGGCTCTGGAGTGCGTCTGGGGGTGCCGGAGCTGCTGTCCCCGCAGGAAGCCGGACATCCCGGTGCCCTACCTGTACGTGGACATGGGTGTGGCCGTGCTCTGTGCCAGCTTCATGTCCTTCGGGGTCAAGCGGCGCTGGTTCGCCCTGGGGGCCGCGCTGCAGCTGGCGGTGGCCACCTATGCTGCCCACGTTGGTGGCCACGTCCACTACGGCGATTGGCTCAAGGTGAGACCCCCTCAAAACCCCCCCCAGGCCCCCGGGGCGGTGCTGCTGGCCCCGCTGACGCTGCCGGTGGCCCCGCAGGTGCGGATGTACTCGCGCACCATCGCCATCATCGGCGGCTTCCTGATCCTGGCCAGCGGCGCCGGGGAGCTGTACCGGCAGAAACCGCGCAGCCGCTCGCTGCAGTCCACGGGCCAGGTGTTCCTGGGCATCTACCTCATCTGCCAGGTAACGGGGACACCTGGGGACACACTTCCCAGCAGGAGAAGCCTTGGGACAGTGCTTGCAGTGTCCCAGACTGTCCCCGGTAGGAGCCTCGGGGTGCTGTCACCAGTGCCACCACACACCCACCCCACACTGTCCCCAGGGGAGAAGCTCTTGTCCTTGGGGAGGAGCCCTGGGTGATTGTTTCCAGTGCCACCAGTGTCATTAGTGCCACCACACTGCATCCCCATTACCCCCGGGGTGACACTGTCCCTTGGACAAGCGCTGCCTTTGGCACTGTTGCCACTCCACCCCCATCCCCCCCAGAGCACAGCCGTGCTGCCAGTGTCCCCAGTGTCCCCCCGTTGTCCCCTCAGGCCTACTCCCTGCAGCACAGCACCGAGGACCGCCTGGCCTACCTGGACCACCTGCTGGGGGGTGAGCTGGCCCTGCAGCTGCTCTTCCTGCTCTACGGGCTGCTGGCCCTGGCCTTCCTGTCGGGTTACTACGTGCGGACGGCGGCGCAGGTTCTGGCCGTGCTGCTGCCCTTGGCCATCCTGCTCATCGACGGCAACCTGGGCTACTGGCACGCGCTGCGCCGCGTCGAGTTCTGGAACCAGATGAAACTCATCGGCCAAAACGTCGGCATCTTCGGGGCCGTGGTCATCCTGGCCACCGATGGATGAGGGAGGGGGGAGGCGTGGCATGGGCGGGGATAAAAGGGGTGGGAGGGTTTTTTTAAGGAGCGCCTCTATTTATTGGTTGGGGTATTTTTTTTCGTTGTTGTTGTTTGTAAATATTTGATAATTCTGGCGGAGGACGGGTGGGGGGGGGTCCTGCCTTGGGGGGTGGCGGCCACTGTGTGGCCAGGGCCCCTCTCCCTGCTGAGGGGCGTCACTGCTCCCCCCCACAAAAATGTATTTTTACTGATGCACTGAGAAATGTCTTGCACTGGGGGCTCGGCTTTGGGGGCAGAGTTTGAGGGGCTTAGGGGGAGCCACTTTGGGGGATTGGTGGAGGGGGCTGGGGGTGTTCTGGCACGGGTGGGGGTCCTGGTGGCACCCATGGAGGGGCTGGTAACCCCCAGAGTCCC